CTATTATTGGTACAACAAAACCTAAGCCGAATGGAGACAAGGGGAGTAGTGAGACTAGAAGGGAAGATAAGAAGGACTTGGTGTGTGATTATTGCAAGAAGCCTAAGCATACCAGAGACACTTGTTGGAAGCTTCATCCAAATCTTATGCCTGCTCGGATAAGAAACAAGAAGGGAAATGCAAATGTAGCCACTACAGGAGACTCTTCAGCCCCTCTCTCCCAAACTGATTGGGAATCCATTACAGTAGCAGCAGTGAGAGAAGACTTGGAGAGGTTTGGACAGCTTATGAGTAAGAAAGATTCACCCAGCTCTAGCCTTCTAGATGGATAGCAGAATGCAGGAGCCAACTACACTACTTCCTTTGCACATGCAAGTAGTTCATATGCAACTGCAAATCTTGCATCCACTTTAGGTAAGGAGGGACCTCCCTGGATTATAGACTCAGAAGTATCTGAGCATATGGCTAATGCCCCTACCATTTTTAGTTCCTATTAGTTGTGCTTTCGCAAAGACAGAGTCTCTACAGTAGATGGTTCACATATGCCCATTGCTGGGAAGGGGACAGTTAGAGTGACCAATGATATAAATCTGTCTTCTGTTTTACATGTACCTACACTTCATACCAACCTACTGTTTGTTAGTTCTTTGACAAAAAATTTGAATTGTTCTATGACCTTTCTTCCTGGTAATTGTGTTTTGCAGGATTTGGAGTCAAAGTAGATGATTGGGAGTGGTCGTGAGGTGAATGGAGTCTACCTTCTGGATGAGATTCCGAGACATCAGGGTCATCATGTTAGAAGTAGCAGTAGTAGTGGGTCAGAGTCAGTGAACCAGATTATGCTTTGGCACAATCGCTTGGGACCTCTTTCTTTTAGTTCTTTGAAATGTCTTTTCCCAAAGTTGTTTGAGTCTGTTCAATTATCTACTCTGGAGTGAGAGTTGTTAGTTAGGAAAACATTGTAGACAGTCTTTTAAACSAAGTAATAAAAGAAGTACTTCTGCTTTTAATATTGTTTGCACTGATGTATGGGGGCCATTATCAAATCCCTTCCATGGGAGGATTCCGTTACTTTCTCTTGTTTGTGGATGATTATACACGATATTCTTGGATATATTTGATGAGATCACGTGA